GAGGAGGAGGAGGAGGAAGAGGAGGAGGAGGAGGAGGAGAAGAAGAAAAGAAGAAGAAGAAGAAGAAAAAGATGTACGTGATATAGACCATCACGCTCTCGCAATTAGATTTCAGAGTTTTGCTAAAGATTTAGTATGGGTCCCCATACCCAACCCAGTGTATCCGCGGGTGGTGTATAGGAGCATTGTCTTCAGATATGAAGGCTAGCAGTAGTCGTGGACTAAATCGATGGCCTCGTAGAGTAGTAGAGAATCCTGATGACGCAGGTTTTGTGCTTCATTGAACGTCTCAAATGTTCAGAGAAAGGACCATCTTGGTGATGGAACTAGCCACAAATCTTACTAAAGCCCCCATGCAGTGCCTTGTGAGAGTTAATTGATGACAACAGCATGCCCAGAGTTAAAATTGTAAGCATACACAAATTAATAGTAGGCAACGATTGTAATCTCTCAAGAAAGATTATGGAAACCCAAATTAATTAATCGTTGAAATAACAACGGCAGGGACCGCCATTTTAAAGACAACTGCCTGCTGGCTCCTGATCGCTAATCAAAGCTATCTGGCTGCAAGACAAAAACCTAGACTAAAACTGTTTTAAACGGCCTCGTGGAATGCTATAGATTATGCAAAAGGAAAGGCAAACAAGAAAAATATAACGCTGGAAATGGACGGGATGAAACTATATATTGAGTCTTTCACTTTCAGAGGTTAGATGGGAAGGGGGAGACTTCATCAAAACATGTACATGTAATAAAACAACAGTAATATATATATATATATATGCAGAAAAACCCCCAAAATGAAAGGATGTTGGAATTTTATTTGAGGAAACAACAGCAAAGAGCATCAAATATTTTTGGGAATGTCAAATAAAGTCATTGTAGCTAAATTAGGCATAATGGACAACCTTTTGATATAATATTAATAGCTGTCGTTCAAATACATCAGAGCTTGACAATGAAAACACAAAGAGACCTGGATATAAGGCAATGGATCAAATCAAATCTCGCTGAACAAACTAGTCTGGGGGAAAGAGGGGGGGGGGGGGGTTAGAATTAACGCAAAAGTGGGATACACAAGCATTGGGTCGCGATGACTGGTTAAAATGAACGCGGAGAGCGTCTCATAGTCATACAACAGAGCAGAGAGAATAATTTCGTGATTTCGAAGACCTGGTCTGAAAACTAGCCAAGAAGTTGTGTACTTTGGAGAGCCCCGTGCATAGAACAAGGAACGAAATAGATTTCCTACTCATGCAGAAGAATTTTAAAGAATCATTGCTAGAAGCAGATTGTGATAGTGATAGTGACGTACTAGACACGTGCAACAAGCACATATTTGATGATTAATCGGGTTTGACAAAACTATGCATTTTAAAATGAGAAAGTCACATCAGCAGATCAGTCATCGTCACCACCACTGCCTTTCTCTATCCAAGGCTAGCCTCTTGGTGTTATTCCATGTCTTCCCACTTTTCTGAAGATTAATTTAATTGTTCCCCCGAGCTGAGCTACTTCTGTCCAGACTGTATCCAGTGTGTTTCGCTGACTCGTAGTGCAGCTTGCACCTTTTCATCTCTATTGTGATGCTTGAGAACTCTTTCCTGCTTCATACATCGTGCGAACATTCCACGGCACAGTCCGGAGAGTTTTGTTCGACAGAGAAGGTTTCGGGTCAGGAGGGTCCTTCGGCTTTGCCCACTGTCCTTCACTGTTCCTGCTGATGCAGAAGCTCCTTCGTCTCCCAATATCGAAAAATAAATGGCCGTGTTTGTCCGTGTTTCAGTAACGTTTCGGTTTTACTGGGTTGGGTAACTGGCACTTTTCTGGAGAACAGACCTGTGCACCTTAAGTCGCCTCTTACGACATGCAGTATCACGGCAAACGTTATTCTTTGCTCCCCCATAGTAAAACTATGC